TTCATCACATGCTCGCTGTGCTGTTCCATATAGCGCGTTTACAGGAGCTCTCAAATCTGCTCCCTCTTGTCACTTACACACCCAGGAAGTTGACTCACATATACATATTCACGCGTATAGACAAGTCATAGTCCGGGCCTACGCGATTCACACCTCCCGTATATCGACAGCAACACCACAGCACATGGTAGATGCGTGGATGGATCATGGATGGATGGACTGTGGAGAAACACGATCCCAGATGGAAGGATTAAGCCGTGGCATTTGCCTGAGAAACTGAGGTTTATTTTTGCGTCACTCTAACGTCATTCTCACGGTATAGCAGCAGCAGCTCAATGTTGTGCTGTATAGTCAAAGCAGCGAAAGAGGAGCGAGAGATGGAGGCTGCAGCAGATTGGGTGAGCAACGCCATTACAGCGTGAGGCGACCACCCCTTGTCCATAATAAGCGCTTCATTCATAAATACCGGAGGATCGCCATCTCACACGCAGGCAGAGTCCCCCCCCCCCCCCCCCCCCCCCCCCCCCCCCCCCCCCTGTCTCCTTATACTCTTCAAAGCTATTCACACATGATAATCCCAGTATCTTCTGTCCTAACCCTGCCAATTCTCTTGACAATATGGCTTCGCGCATTCAATCTCTTTACATTGCGTTTAAACTCCCATGACACACACACACACACACACACGCACACAAGGCTACACAATATATGGAGCAAATCGAAATAGACGGAATGATTTACAGAGATGGGACACTAACAAAGCACAGGGATGATACTGTGATACATGGGCACATATTGAGAAACAGCGCTGTTGAGTTTTACCTGATTGTGATGGGGGGGGGGGGGGGGGGGGGGGGAGTCCGCTTCAGGCTCAGTCCTCAGTTCAGACGCGATGCAAGAGAAGCGTATATTGCATTTTACTCGATTCATGTAAAGCTCATGTCCGGGATGTTTCGTTCTTTTTTTTCTCTCCCAAAACACGAAAGAGGAGTCGCAGCAGCAGCAGCAGTACAGCAGTATAGCAGTGGGGCTTTGGATGGGCTGACTTTCTCTCTTCCCCTGCTTCCTCTTCACTCCGCGCAGATAGGACGTGGGAGGGACGGGGAGGTGCTGCTCTGATGCCTTCTCTCGTCCACACAGTTTTTAGACACTTCCTGGTGATGGGATGCCAGCAAAAAAACAAAAAAAAACAAGAAAAAAAGGAGACGAGTGTTTAAAGACTAGAGATAAGGGTATTAATCACGAGTTATTCTTCGTATTGCCAAGCTTGAAGACACATTTGTTTGGGTATAGGGTGAAAATCACAAGTAATACATGTATTCAGCCTGTTCATATAGTCCTACATAGCGTTCTCTTTTTCTGTTTGGCCATCAGATGCTGTTTAACTTTTCGACCTTTTCGACCTGACTCTTGATTGATTGATACGGCAGGTGATCAATATAGTCAATAGCTATAAACTGGACACAATTCACAAAGACTCAATAGAAGATAATCCAGAATAAACAGATACTAGCAAGGGATTGGTGTACTACAGTAAAATCCCTGTCCTGTTTTGAGACGTGTATATGTCTAATATATATATATATATATATATATAAAGCTTATCATATCCAGACATTTAGCCTGGAGGAATCCCCATATTGTCTCACCTGTCACATCCAAAATGGCGACTTCTGGCAGCACTTGCATACTGTATCTTATATTTTGGGCTCAAACTGTGACTGTTTCCTGTATGGATCGCCTCATATCACGTGCGCGTTCGCGTTTAGACGGTGTTTTTTTCAGCACCAAGGACAGCTCCCGTATTGAATTTCAGCACTGCGTAAAGTGTTGATCAACGCTGCTGCTGCTGACACGCCTCAATATAGAAACATAGATAATTGTACGAATGCTATGATAATTGTGGTTAAGTGGTTGAGTGAATGTTGAGGTTTATCATCCAGGAAGTAGGTCTGCCTATGACGCGCCTCTTCTTGACGCATGATGTTGATTGAATTGTCAGATTTTCCACAACAGTGACGAGGGCAGCTGTGAATAAAATGTCCCTGTGCGCTCATAAATACGCATTGTTGTAATCAGGCCTTGTTTTGCACCGTGGTTTACAGTAGTGTGTGTGACGGCCCGTGACTCACCGAGGACTCGAACGCAGTGTCCAACCCCCTCTAGTGGCGGAGGGCAGTAGTGCGCAAGCGGAGGACACGGGGCGATTACAACAAGAATTGATCGAGTCAGTGGCAGGGATTATGACTTGAAGATCAGAGGGGAGAGGGATCATGCTGCTGGAAAGGATTTTCAAAGTGTTTAGATATAATTGAAAATGTGGATTTTAGGATATAGAAAATAATCAAAGTTGCATCCACACATCCATGAACCACACGTACACATGTAACATTAAGCGACCAAATCAGGTCTTTTTTTTTATCTTAATAGAAAACATAATTACATAGTTTATATATTTATCTATACAATTCAAATTAAAGTGTTTATCTATTAGATAAACTTTAAAATGAAGTTGTATTAGTATTAGTATTTGTTTACTTTTTATTGTTTTGTTTTTTTAAGTGTCCCCAGTGCTTCCTCTGAAGGAGCCCCCGGCACTGGAAGCGGTGGTCGGCTGTGGCTGTGGGGGTCTGGCTCCTGGACCTGGTGGAGGTCTGGGGCCTCGGCTTCCTCTCTGGGTCTTGTGTCGTCCCCTGTGTTGTCCCCTGTGTCTGCAGGCGGCTCTCTGCTCCTTGGATAGTCAAGTATACGAGGATGGTCTTCTCCTTTTAACTCTCAGAGGTCTTTCTCTACTCGAAGCTCTCAGTGTTAAAATCATTTATAAAAGGCCTTGGACAGGACATGACCCAGCGCTGTACAATTATTGGGAAGAGCATGGGGTTGCTTTAGATCAATACCTCATTGGGCAGACGTGGCTCAGCGAACAATGGGCCATAACAGCGCAGACACTTTGAAATGACCCCAGGCGAACAGACGGATGACGGAAAATGTTCCGGATCTAATGTTTTCATCGTGTAATACGTCCAGTGCACAGACATAAAGGCCCTTCTTTCAGGGGCTGTAGAGCATGAAGTGAGCAAAGCGAAGATAAAGAGGCGGGGTAGTTTATCTGAATGCCCTTAAACGCTCCACAGGAGCAGGTTAAAGGGGAGAGGGGAGAGAGGTCAATTATGATTAGATATTGATATTTGCACTAACCTCTTGTGGTCATGTTTTTTTCCTTCAAATTAGAAAACATGTCTTTTGCAACTTTTCATCTAAGGCTAGAAAGTCTGTAAAATATTACATTAACCATTAGTGAAGTTTTTTGAAATGTGACCATAGACTGTAAATATTAAAGCTGCACTAACTGACTTTGGGATTTTGAAGCCGCGGACTCGCTGGCCTCTCTCTTTCTGCTCCCCTCCCCGCACCCACGAAGCTATCGCCCACACACCCACTGTTGGGACGGAGCTAGTGTCTCCCAATATGGATAATACATGGATATGGATTTGCATGTGGATGGCGTGACCATAGAACGATAGAACCGGGAAGTGCGGAGGAACGGGACTTTCTTTTGGATGGCTGTCTCGCTAAGTAAGCAGTACCCGGTGACTAAGACACGAAGTTTCAGGTTAGCTCCTCGACTTGTTGTGCTAACTCAGCCGTCTATGCTAACGGACCTGGAGATTTCTCACGAAAGTGGGGGCCAGTGGTGCGCTGTGATTGGTCACAATCTGCGACCCGAAACACATTCTCTTCCTTGTTTCATCAAAACTCGATCTAAAATATAATGTCACGCCAGCACAAATCTGCGCTACTTTTTCTTCAAAATGATGTATATCCCAATGCACTACATGGACATGGATAGCATTTTCGTAATGAATACAAAAATAAAGTCAGTTAGTGCAGCTTTAAGGAACGTAGTCACGCCTATATCTCCGCTGTTGATACTAATGTGCCACCACTTTTGCTTTCTCCAGGCTTTTTCAAAATGGCTCCAGGTAGAATGTGAAAAAATGCATTTGCGCATGCATTAGCTGGCACTAGCCCCATTCATTTCATTTAGTGCATTTTTAAACTATAGTGGTCCGAAAAAATAAACTAAGCATTGACACAATCCAGGAAAAGTTGGCTCCTGGACAGTCCTGTAAAGCAGTTTTCGGAAGGAGAATACGCCATACAAAAGCATTGGGTAATTCTCTTTCCGGGTCCACCCCCACCGGCCTGGAGTGAGATTGCAAGCATGTCAGCGCACGTTCTCACAGACCTTTTGGAGCCGGGACCCGCCCCCACTGAATGTGACAGATGCCTGTTACAGGCCAGGTCTGGGGTGTTGCAGCAGCCTCGGATGGCCTGCTCTGCCGCCTTCACTCATTTGTACCAAAAGTGATTAAATAAAGTGTTTCTTTTGTCAGATGGTGCCACATAACAAAATGTTCCCAAAAACTCAAACGACTTTGAGTTAAATTGATAAAATAACAGCTTTGTCTGAACCCACATCTGTGAAAGTCTAATTGGATGCGTTCACAGCTGTTCCACAGTTTGACACGTTTTTAGCCAAATACATTATCGCTCCCCGAGGCACAAAGCAGGATCGACAAACGGCAAGAGACTGCGGCTCCAGGTTTAATGGGAAATGGGGGAACTACATCTGCAGAAGTTACAGATCTAAAATGCAATACCACTCGTGTCCCCAGACTCAAAAAACAATTACTGACATGTGTGACGTGTGAACAGAGCAGTTTGGTGCAAATAAAAAAGACAATTTGGAAAGAAGAACACCATATCTCCAGTTACTAAAATTTCCGCTTTATTATTTAATGAACACAAATAAGTTGATAAATTAAGACATACAAAAGACAGAAACTCCAGTTAAAAGATGAAACCTTCACAAACCTCAAACCTTCATTGCTACTTGGCACAACACAGACTGATAACAAGGCCATTTTACAGCATGGTGGTAACAACTCTGGGAAAAATTATTTCAAGGCAACCTCCGTCATTTCAAGTTTGGGTCGCTAATGGCTCAGCTCATTGGAAACCTGAAACATTCACAATAAAATTTACTTCATTAAGTACCCTGCCAGTGTTTCAAAACCAAAGTTCATTCATATCCACTAAAATCTTCACGTTCTTCATATAAAAAAGGTCACATTTCACGTTCTAGAACCAACAAATGATCTTGCAGAGTCTTTTTTACTTAATTTGCAGGAGCGCTGCCACAGAAGTCACAGAAAAAAGAACACACACACAGTCCTCCGTCATTCTTTACTGGGTTTTGTCGTGGTTTATAACCTTGTTTACCGCTGTGGGACACAAGAGAAAATTATTAGCTTTAAGCATGTATTGATGTGATAGAGATGCCAACGACATTGACTTAAAATAACCTCTTTAACCTATTGACATTTCAAACATTAACAAACTTAAAGAAGCCATTTCAGAACAAAAGAGTAGTTATAGTTTTCTACAGGTGCAACAATAAGGTCAATGAGGCGGTAAAAGTAACAGTGGCCGTCTAATTTCACCAAAAACTAGATCCAACTAAATTGTATTCTAATAGTTATAAACTAACTGTACTATCAAGTTAAATTAAGCCTAACTTTTTGTGTGTGCATCTTGATATCTGCTGAAAGGTACATACAACAGTCACTGCATATGATGTGGCAATAAAAACTTTATAAAAACAGATCAACAAGAGAATACTCGATCTGCTAGTCTTCAAGTACTTCATGTCTTTCACCATATTTTAAAGTAGAGAAATGTATATTATTTAGTTAAGTGTGTTGACTATTTGATAAAAAAATAAATATTACTGCTGAATGGTCAACAACTAAAATAACCATTCGCAATCATGATGAGAATAAACAAGAATAATATATCTTTTTCAAATATTACCAACATCAAGCCAATGTCTTTAATTTAATTTTAATGGCTCGTTCTTATCGAGAAACACTTTTTCACTTTTCTATTCCCAGAAGAGTGCGTAATGGTGATCCTGCAACACTATGAACCAGGGCGTTTCAACTCAGTCCTCAAAGGGCAGTGTGGCTGCAGGTTTTCATTTCAACCAAGCAGAAGCACAACCGACTCGAACCATTTCCTCCATTCTTCAGGTCAACGGGTGAGTCGGGTGTGCTTCTGCTTGGTTAGAATGAAAACCTGCAGCCACACAGCCCTTGAATACCCCTACTATGGAGTAATGGCTCCTTTGTCTTTCTTATTGCATTTTCCGATTCTTAAATTGTTGATTGATGTAGTCCTCTGAGACACCACATACATTTTACATAGTGCACCAGTCCAACTAAAAGTGATAGAAGAGAGGCCATGTTTTTATGATCATGGACGGAGACTCACCTTCCTTTGCAGCAGCGTCCATGAGGTTCTTGGCCTTGTTGGTGAGATCGTTGACGACTTTGTCCATGGCGGCCTGGTGCTTCAGGAAAAAGGGGCGGATGGCGCGAGTGTAGAGGATTGTGGAGCCGTTCCAGGACACGGGGGCCATGCACCAGATCAGGAACAAGCACTGAAGCAGAGACAGGGAGAGCACACTCAACAACACACAAGCAACAGGGGACGGAGGGAAGAGTAAGAGCATGGCTGAAATGTGTCGAAACACCATGGGGACAATTCTCAGTAATAGTTACGGGACAGAGTTTACACTGTGGGTGTCAGTGAATAGTTGTTTGCATTATTGTGTTAATGGCATGAAGTAGCTTTTTACAACATTGGAGCAAACATGGTCCAAATAATGTCCCCTGTGGATCATTATAGTCTACATTGTGCAAACTACATCGAAACAATGTTTATCCCTCTATGAACATCAGTACTAGGAGTGTGACAAAATATTGATGTTGCTATAAATCGTGATAAATTGTCTCATATATGCGATCCATCTGTTAATAACCTCTCACAATCTGCGTTTTTATATGAATTTATATGCTCAATAAAGAAAACAAAGAATGGGCTACTGTGCTATGTTCTGAAATAATTTCACTATAAATATTAAAATTGAAATTCCTCCATACTATAAAACAATCTGAAATTTCCCCAGTGTGGTACAAACAAAGGATCTCTTAATCTAATCTTAATCCTAAAGTTGAGTGGAGTATAGGAGAGCGCACCTTTCCAGCGTAGTAAAAGGGAAACCAGGAGAGGAAGATGTCGGAGAAGGCCTCTGCGATGCTGAAGAGTCCGTACACCACCCAGTAGGTGAGCCACTGGGTGTCGTCCTCCTTCACGCTGCTTTCAATGGCTTTGATGCTGAAACACACAGACACGAGTCCGCTCAGCTGCAGGCGCTGTGCAAACATGTGATTCTACACAAGCTCCGAGCTCAGGGAAAACCACTTCAAAAACATCTCAAATGTGCTTCTATATGAGGCCTGCCTTCTGACTATGCGTTCTAACAACTTGTGCTGTCGAGAAAAAGAGATTACGTTTTCATTTCAAAAATCAATAATAACAGCTTTAAGAGGAATTGTTTTGTTTTATTTTTACCGGAAAAAAGTCTTGTAAAAGATTTTAGTTTTTTTATCTGATAGAAAATATATAATTCCAGTCAGCCAGATGCAGTCAGTGATTTTTTCCAGACGCATTTTTTTTAAATATTGTGGGAAAATGTCCCTAAACCCTAAAAGCAGTCAAGTTATCATGTGCTTTCAAAAAGTATTGGAATTGAGCAGGTGCCTATTGTCTCCAAAAATGTATAAAAAATATTTTGGAGCGGACCGATAAAAATAAACCAATGGGATTCGTTCATCCCCAACGAACCAATGGGATGCGTTTACCCCCTTCACCCTCTTCCTGTTTCTCGCGGGCACACCAGAGTTATCAGATTTTCTAAAACCTAAAAGGGCTGAACAGAAAATGCCAAGTTTGGTGGAGAGGCGAGGAGAGTAGTTTCCATTTGGTGCTACGGCTAAGCTAACAAAATCGCTTACTGCACCTTTAATTTCATTCATCAATTCATGTTGCATTATTTTAAGGAAGAGTCACTATTCAAAACATTGGGCAGAGTAGTCCCCTCCATTTCCACTTATGATGTGATAGAGGACAGACCAACAACACAACCAGGAGAGCGGGAAAATGGTTTTATGGATTGTACATAATTACATTGTTCTATGGTTTGAAAATTGGATACCCCAGCTTTATTAGATCACAAGGCACACCAATGAATAGGGGAATTTTTTTCAAACCATGACTAAAAAGGCTGATGTATGGTGTATATTAATGACTAAATAATAAAGTGGACAAAGGAGACTCAAAAATGGGACAGGAGTGAGATGTAAACACATACGAGAAATAAGCGGGGTAGATGAAGCCGATCAGGTTGCAGACCAGCGAGGCACCAAATCCAAACAGAAGGTACAGTCCCACAAATCCCAGGAAGCCTAAAGAAAACAAAAGTTAATATTAGCTCGGTTTTTACGTTTAATGAGGCATGGCAGAAGATAGAGCAAGGCGAGCAAACTGCACGGTGCCAGGAGACAAAAACATTTACTTAAGGCTTAACAAAACAAAGGCTTATTCCACACTATAATATACTATACTATACTCCAGGATGTTCAGTCTCTGCACACAATTTACACACGGCTGCCATAAGTTTTGATGGGAACATGTTTGGATTCCTCAAAAGCATGATATAGTGTGCAGTAGTTACAACGACCACATGATACCCAGCCTTAGATAACAGCAGAGGACACGCAACAATGTGTACGCTGTGGTTTTAAAGAGCAATCTACAAATCTCACATACCAGTAAATACGAGCGTGCAGATCAGAGCTCACGTCATTTCAGCAAAGTCAAAAACAGGACTTTTTTTTGCTAAAGTAAGTAACAGGAAGTCAAAGCAAATTCCTAAAACAAGTTAACTAATTTCCTCCAGCCAATACTGAGCTGTGAAGACGCCAAAATGCAACACGTGCTAAATAAATGTGTATGTATTGGGTAATAATTAAAGGGTATAGCAATAAAAGACCTGAGTGCAAGAAGGGTTCAAAGTTCTAACCCATTATTTCCATGTCATTTGCATGTATCGAGGTGTACACAAATATCTGTCAAAGGCTCTGAAGTACAGTACTTCTGGAAGACATCACAATTAAAATTCTAATTTGAATTATACGTGTCTAATGTAAACAATATAAAGCCCCATCTTTGTATTCTGAAATGCATGGGATTATCAGTTTAGCAGTAACTTACTTTTTTCCCCCCACCAATCGTGATAAAATTGCAGCAAAAGCCAAATTTACACTACTTTAACCAAAATTGTGCAGGCTTATTTTCAGCTATACAAAAAAAATCAGAATCTGTTTAATGTTCCAAGCACAAAATACAATACATATTTATTAGGCCAAGATTAGAAACAAAACTTTCAGTAAAATCAAAAACACAGTTTGGAATCTCAGAATTCTCAGCTAGACTAAACTGTTAAACCGTAATTCCATTCAAATAGAAAGTTATGTAATGTAACCATATGTAACCTTCATGCCGATATATACAGTTTATTTACCAAGCTGTGAAAGAGAAACCAAAGGAACAACATTTCTAAGCAGTAAGAAGCCCTCCGCCTGAACAAGTACGATTCTGCTTTCTGCACATATTCTAAAGTTGTGCAATAAAACATAAAACAAAATGGAAAATCATCTTTTTGAGAACATTTATGGCTGGAGTTCAAATAAATACTAAGCCCAGTCAATCGATTAGTGGACTATCAACTTAAGTAGTCGCGGCAAAAGCTCTCAAAACAATATATCTGATCTAGACTTTGGGCATGAACAAAGATTTTTCTATGTACGGCAAATAAAAACAAGTTTGAGTTAGAGTCACAACTATTTCACAAATTGATCAATGTATATGATAAGAACGTTGCCATTCTCTGCAGATTGACTCCCTACAAGTGCCACTAGGTTGTGAAACACTAGAATAAACATGGACAGCCCAAGAGCTTATTATGCCTCTATTTTGTTTACTTATTGGTTTTGTTCATGCATATAAGAGCACCCTCCCTTAAGAGCGTGCAGTATTTTACATTCAATCCCAAACTCTAATAAACGGCTTGTCTTTTCAAACAATGAGAAAATCCTTTGGAGGCAGGAGAGCAGTTTTCACCATCAACAGACTTTGCGCTTCTCACTTCAACGTTGCAAACTTTAGAGAAAAATCTGCACAAAAACACAGACAGCAACTTGACAAAAAACTCCAAACAATGAGTAAATGGCTGCGTATCTTACAAATGTCTAAGTTCACAAGGCAGAAAAGGCTCCTGGTGTTTACTTAAGCGTTGTGGTATTTGCTCAAGAGCCCATGTTGTGTTTGTTGAACCGTGTTTCATTAGGTGCACTTATAATCAAGTGATGAAAGACTGAGGATTAACGAAACACTTTAGATCTAGATAAATGCACTATGAGGAGTCATGACTTGGACTTGGCCAATAAATAAGTAAGTAAATTTATTAATTGATTGTCCATGAAATACATATAAAATGGTGATATTTCTGTTTTTGTTCTGATATAATTGCTGTTCTGTGTCGCATCTGTGAGCACATTCAAGTTACTAAAGTAGATTTTGGGGAGAAAAAATATACAATATAAAAGAATTAACTCTACACAATGTCTACATAATAAGATGGACGGTTTGGCAAATGTAAGACAAAGATCCTTTAATCATAGCAGTTAAACATATACTTTAAATTTCAACACACACAATAAAGCAATATTGACAGTATCATGATGATTCTTTTTGACAAGACCAGACACATTGGACGGCCTTTACAGTGGTTCATGTTCCTAAAACTGAAATAGCAGATCCCTGAGCTATTTGCAGATGGGAGTGTTTGATCCTGGACTGACTCGAGCCAAACACACTCTAGCACATTTCACACACAACTAGGACATAGAGGTCGACCACATCCCTGTCCCAGAATTTACTACAGAGACTGCTCTTTTGTGCACGTGAAGGATGGAACCACCACTTTCAGAGCTCAATTATTCTGACGTTTTTTAAAGTCAATATGTCACTAAAATAAATGAATAAGCAGAAAGATGAGCCGTTTCTGTGTGGTTTCTGCGACATACTGATTTACAAAAAGATCCAAATGTTATGTATAGATTTATTTTCTTCTAAAAACAAATAAAATGCATTTACATTTCTTTTGTATTTAAAAAAAAAGTGAATACAGTTCGATTTAGGGACTAAAATAATGGATTTTCTAGTTCTGTGTAATCTTGCTGCTAACTTTAAACACCTGCTGCTTTAAAGCTGGGAGACACAATTTTACACAGCAGAAAAAACCCATAAGAGAATATATATTAGTTCTTTACTCTCAAAACAGTTTGGGTTTATCACTACATTTCTCATGCATGGATTTTGTGGCCTCTATCACATCTATACATATTACAATCTGCTTTTTCAGACAGAAAAGTGAAAAAACTAATAAAAAGAGGACCACCTTGACTCAGCCCAAAGAGTCAAAGAGTGACTCACACATTGAGAATGCAAAAAGTAACATTTTCTAATAACAGAGACACTGCTCTGACTTGTTCTATTGGGACAAACTAAAAAGATAATGTAAAAGTGTAGTTTGGATAAGAAACCTCGCACATACTACCAACAAGTCTCATTCTATGCAGTGTAACGAATCATCGCCCCAACTAGTCTAACAGTGGATTGAATTGGGGTTAGATTTAGGTGTTTTGTTTAAGAGGTTAGGGTCAAGTTACTGTTAGTAATTCTTCAGCAAAATATCCCACTTCAAAAATCCAACTGAGTCTTTGCTGTAGAAAACTGAAAGATCAATACTAACTCAAAACAAACTGGTTGAAAGTAGGTCACTTTGGTTTTCCTGTGCTGCTGACAGGGCTGGAACCACAGACTGGCATTTGTTGACAGTGTGCAAACTTTTGACACCGCCAAACACCTCTGAGCGAGACACGAAACGCCCATCCATCCTGGACGTTATAGATAATTAAGGAGAGGACCAAAATACCAGGTGTGACAAGGCCCTTACTGCACAGGAGGGGAAGCTGCCCATATGTAGTGTAGTGTAATGAATGACGGTGCAAAAGTCACTGAACATGAAGGCACGTGAAAAGCATTACGTGGCCGCTCTAATCAGACAAAAGTAGAATAAAGGTTGAAGCCCGAGTGAACTTTGCCTTTCACACTCATCCAGACAGGATATGACGACTGATCCAGAAAGTTCCAGATGCTAATACTAGTGTGTGAGACAATAAGCTTTGGGAAATCATATCCCTTTTTTTCACAATACGCTTTTAGTTCCTTTTTTCACCAAATCTAACCATTGTAAATATTATCATAGTTCTCCTTTTGATGTCAATAGTCACACCATGATGACGTCCTATTCTGTGCATTTTTTTTTTTTCAAAAGAGATTTAACATGTAAGTGACAGGAGATTGTCAATGCAATGAGGTTGGTTACGGTCAGTTTTGCGACTAAAGACAAAAATAAGTCTAGGGAAAATATTAGTTGATATAGTTTTACGAAACAATCTATTCTGATGACAAATGAAGGACTCCATACATCAGGATAGTAAAAATTAAGTGTTGAATTTCAGCTGGAACAATTTCAAATATTGTCAAATCTTTGGACGAAAACTTTGTGTGTTTACCAATGACCAAAGAACTAAACTAAGTAACACTAATGTACACAATTAACTCATTCTATATTTCCGTAAAATTAGAATGGCTACAGTCTTAAAATGTCTTTAACCTCTCCGTTTGTCCATTAATATTCTACAAAAATACAATGATTCGTTATAATGGTGAAATAAGGTTTTTACGTTACTTCTCCATGTGTATGTCCATGTTGTGTAGTTAAATAGACCGTGAGTTTCAACTTCCGGCTTGATGTACTTTGGGGCACCTTTTCCCAAAAATGAAAATTCTTTAAATATTCTGTGTGACTCATGGATACTAGTCAATCACCATGGGAACAAGCAACAAGTTAATGAACACACTTTTTGGGGCAATACATCACTTGTAAAGCAACTCATAAAAGATAGTTAGACAAGTTTAAACCACAGAATTTCACGTTTTTAACAAGGCAATACTACCACCAAGATGCAAGCAGCTGATCGAAGGACTTCCCACCACTAATAGTACACAGTGAAACTTTGACGTTACGTATGCTCTGTGGGTGCTATTGTAACTAACGCTACGCCGTGTGCAAAGTTTATAGGCCTTTTCCCGGGTGTAAAAGACGCAAAATGCATCCTGTGACTGTATGAAAAGGGGGGGAAGTGTCCGGTTGCATGTTGCAAACTTACCCGAGGCGATGTACTCCCGCTTTACTCCCGTTTTCTGCTCCAGCACCGCCAGCTGATCTGTCACAAAGTTCTTCTCATGGAGCACGGCCACGAAGCGCTCTTTATACTGGTTCATGATTCTTCAACCTGCACGATCAAGGCACACGTTATAAACTTTAAACACAACTTCAGGTGAGTTAAATGAAGAGAAAAAGCGTTTTTTTTTTTTTTCTAACCTTGGGGACGTAATTCTACCCCCGCTGCTCTGCAACTGTGGCTGACTGTGACAGAGTGTAAGGGGAGGGGTTTGAATGACGAGGAGCCAATCAGAGCGCGGCCTTTGTGTGACGTCAGGACAGCAGGTGGATAAAAAGAGCACATAATGTTAGTATTCTGGTGAAACACAATAAATGGCCTGTTCACATAATGCATTCATGGTTCACAGAGGACAGTCCATCAAACGTATCTGTTGGGACATGACGTCACAATTGGGCGCGCATTGACGCATCATTATTCGTTTGAGAAAAGTGTAAAAAGTCAATCAACAGGACAAAATAAGTCAAACACTTGCACTTACTTGTAAATGAGTAGGACACAAGTGTTTAACTACAAACGATTTGGGACAAACCGGTTTAAAAGCTATCCAACAAAATGACGATAATAAACAAAACTTGGAGAAACACTCATGTTATTTTTTCATGAATTTAGAAGCATATCTAATCTAATCATATCTAATCTAATCTAATCTAATCTATCTAATCGTGTGTTAAATGTGTGCGGCCACATCATGTCGTGTTAGTGATGTAGATATGTATGCTATAACTTTAACCGTGTTGTTTATCAATTACAAGAAGTTATAGACTTAGACTTAGACTTAGACAGACTTTATTGATCCACAAGGGACATTGTGTTGTCACAGTAGCTTGCATAGTATTTCACAAGAAAAAAAAACAAAACGTTAAAGCAACAATCTAAAAATAAGAATAAAAATAAGATAATATTTGTGAGAACAGAAAAATCTGATTAGAAGTACTCAGGAATATACATATCTGTGAGTACACATTTACAGCATAAAATACAAAGAAAATAGGATAGTACACATCTGTTAATAGACAATACAAAGACCTATAGGGCGCCTGAGATGCTCTATTTACAGTCTATGGATGCACTGCAGGCCCCGTTGACCTCAAAACCAGTCATGCATTTTTTACATTTCTATTTAAGAATACAACATAGAAAAAGTTAGTTGCACTTGCACCTGACATGCACTGCAAAGGATATTTCCATCAAAAAGGGGGTGATCTTTGAAGCTAAAACGGGTTGTGTATTTCTCAATTGAGGCTTATAATAACCTGCCTACTTTGCTGTCGCGTCAATAATGCATGAATAGCTTGCAAAAAATGTGGATTATGGCTATAACAAAATTATGAATACGTCACATGGTGGAATGTAGTAAAGACATTGGGTCACTAGGGGGTGCAATAAATCCATAAGAGGAGGCATTACTTTCAAACAGGCCAGATGCTATAGAACAAGTGTGTTCATGCAAATTATTTAAACAGCCACGTTAAGAAAACTTCCACTGCTTAGCTTCTATTTCTAGTCTTTCTGTTTCAAAAATGCAGGTGCATTCAAATGTGTTTTACGGTATAATGATTAGCATCACTACTCCTCCCAGGTCTGTTGAGGTTAGATAGTCAACCGCTGGGGTACTTTTAGTAACTATTTTCAATAATAATTAGTTTTGTTTGTCTATTTTAAAAGTGAACCGGACACAACATGTACTTTATTTATCTCATTAGAAAATAATTAACCTTTTATAAGATGTCAAAATTCTACTCTTGGGGCTGAGTTCTCTTTCACTTTTTTGTCTGAAAAAGCTGATCCAAAGATGTGACAAAGGCCAAAAAAAATTAGCGATAGAACCGAACTGTCTTAAGTGTGAAGAAGTAAGATGATTACAGTAGTCTTATTGGTATTATTAGTATCGTATTATAATTATGTTTTAGTTTTCTAGACAAAATACTAACCACACAAATCCTGTTTCATTTATTACTGATCTGAATAGATATTGTAAATAAGCTTGCAGTGTAAAGCATGCAGGTACTGTAGGCATTCCATGGGACATTGCTTTACTGATCAAGTTGAAATCTCTTTATCGCTCAAGTCATTCCAGGTGTAGAAATTTTCATTTCCATAGAGAGGAGGGTCACATGATCAGCTGGTTGACTTTTATACTGAGCTGGAGACTGCAGGAGTCACATGTGTCAGTGAACGCACCATGGCTCTGCTCTGCTCCATCCTCATCTGGACACTGGCCTGCTGCTGCTTCACAGGTTCCACTCTCAGACACACTGAACACAACACACTGTCTTTTCTCTGTCTTTCTTCTGATCAGTGTTTATTGTTTTTACAGGATGCAGCGGTCAGATCACAGTCACTCAGCCTCCAGACCAGATGTTTACTCCAGGATCCACAGTCACTCTCACCTGTGAAACTAACACAAATGTCTATAATAATAATTACATGTACTGGTATCAGCAGAAGCCTGGTCAGACTCCAAAGCTCTTTATATACGCTGCAAGTAACCGCGAGTCAGGAACTCCATCTCGGTTCAGTGGCAGTGGGAGCGGCACTCGCTTCTCTTTGACCATCACTGGAGCTCAGGCTGAAGATGCAGCAGTTTATTACTGTCAGAGTACCCATAATAACCCATGGTTGAACACACAGTGATTTGTGCTCGTACAAAAACCTCCCTCAGAGAGTCCTTCAGAGCGAGACCAGAGCAGGAAACAACTGGAGCTGCTCAAGAGGAACACACTTTCAGTCACTTTATTACACAGAACAATCATTAAATATTTTCTAGTTATTTATGTAGCTATGTATTATAATGTTGGTCTTTTTGTGTTTGTTAAAATTATTCTCGTTCTATTTATTCAGACTTGACCCCAAATAAAAGTCAAGCTCACAACTAACTCCAGTTGTTGCACCAGTTGTTCTGGAAATATGGTGGAAAAGATTTTGTCTTTGGTTCATTTGAAAGTGCTCTGTGATGTCAGTCCTGAGTACAAATAGTAAGTAAGTAATCTCTATTTTATTGATCGTTGCCAAATGCTTAATAGTTCCTTCAGATTCACATTCATTTATTTGCCATTTGCAGTAAAACCACAATGGAATACATTTGCAAAAGTCCCCAGTGTCCACAAGACAAGCACAAAAATAAAACAACATTAAAAGTACAGGAAAAAAACAATAATACAGTAAACAATTGACACTGTGAAATAGATCGACTAAAACAGTTTCAATTTCAGTGCAAGAACATTAAAGTGCTCTGTTCAAGCTGATAACAGCTTGTGGAAAGACGCTGTTAGCAAAACAAGATGTCCTGCATCTCAGAGAGCGATATCTTCTGCCAGAGGGAAGAAGCTGGAACATGGCTTTTCCAGGGTGGCCAGAAGAGTCATTGACAATCCTAAGAGCGTTGTTTAAAAGTCTGGATTTATAAAGAACCTCCAGAACAGGAAGCTCACAGCCCACGGTCCTCTTTTCAGAGCGGAGGCACCTTGTTTAAAGCTCTCTTTTCTTTATCTGTGATGTCACCAAACCACACAGTCACAGAACCAACAAGCAACATTTCAATGGTGCAGCCATAAAAGACGAGCAGAATCTTAGAGTTAGTGGTAAATTCTCTAAGTTTTCGTAGAAAGTAGAGACGCTGACGAGCTTTCTTCACGACCCAGTTAGTGTTTTTGTCCCATTTCAGGTCGTTAGACGGAGTTAAGCCCAGAAACTGTCACTGCTCTACAATCTGCACCTGGGAGTTATCAATAACAACAGGCTTGTGAAAACTGTTACTGCTAAAGTTCCTTGAGAGTTTTCAGTTCAGACTGTAATGAAATATCTTTATTATCTTTAGACATTTCTATTTGGCAAAAACCCACAAAATCACAGAATAGTGTATTAAAACAACCTTCAAAACTAAATAGCATCCCTTTAAAAGATACAGTCTAAATAATGAGTAGAGCACAGAACATATTAGTTCATTACTAAGGCTGATATGTTCAACTGCACCAGTAATCCTGTCACTGTTTGAACTATTTATGAATGTTTTATAAACTGAACAATGAATTCCAAGTTTGTAAATGTATGAAATACAGAAACATGACTCAGACTCATGACATGATGCTTTGCTCAGTAGCTTTATTAGCACAAACACAGTCCCATGTGAAGCTTATCCACATGTTTGTTGTGGTCCCTCCTCAGCTCAAACAGGACTGTCCCACACAGTGTCCTCACATGGACTGGTCTCACTGGGAGCAGGACGCTGCCTCCAGGCCCTGAGTGACTGGGCTCTGTCCACTCCGATGGGCCTCACACATCACTGATGCGTCTCTCCAGTGCTCTGTGGACAGCTGCAGGACGCTGATGCGGTCGTAGAGACTGTCCCCCCTCAGGACCCCCGGGCTGTGGGACCCCTCAGTGGAAGCTCCGCCCACTCTCCAGCTCAGCGTCCAATCAGAGGGAAAGCCCCGCTGGCCACACACAGCAGCGTGACACTGTCCCGGAGCAGCTCCTCTCTGGAGGGAGGCAGGACGGTCAGGGCAGGCCGCTGCACTCCCACTGCACACAGACAGGGGGCAGCACAACTCACTCATTGTGTTTATGCATCAGAGAACAGTCAGTGCACAAAAGGATCAAGACCAGAGACGTTTTCACCTGTGTCTTTCACTTCCTGTTCACTATGAGTCCAACCAACTGTGAACAACTGCTGCTGCTGTGAAACTATGAGTAATGTCCATTTAGAACACAGCCACATCTGCAAATACTCTACATTCTCTTTGTCTTGTGGTAGAACTCATTAAAGCTGGGGTACCTCACTTTCACACCTCAAATTATTAAATTAACATATTGTTACGGCCGGCTCAGGGCCACAACAAATAGGGAGACGAGACGGGGGTAAAAAGTGCAAAAAGTATATTTAATAATAACAAAAAGAGTATAACAGGAACAAAAACAAGGTATGAGGTGTGAGCATGTTGTAATCAGTGTGTAGTGCAGGTGTGTGAGTGCAATGAAAGCCAGTGTGTGGTGTGCAGTGAATGTGGTGCATAAAACAAAAGACAAACTCAAATGTGCAACAAAGGAATGAGCACCAGGGCAGGACCAAACAAGACAGCAGTGCCGGAGAGCAGGAGGACAGGAGGAGAAGAGGAGCGTGAGCAGCTCTCAGCTCCCAGGTGAAAAGACCCACTGATTATGGGCGTGGCATGGTGCGGACCTGCACAGAGGAGGAGACAGCAGGCAAACCCCAGACAGCTCCCTCTCCTGGACAGTAAGGGACCCCCCCAACCCCCCCCCCCCCCTACAAGAAAGGGACCCAACTGGGCCCTTCATAAGACCCAAACAAAATCTAAAAATCCTCTGAGCAGCTCAAAGGACATTCCATCCAGCAACTAGGCATCTCAAACGGTTGGAAGAAACTCAGTGAAAGTGGCGTCAGGCAATGTACCTCCAAAATAGAGTTGGCCCCGGGACTTGGGGTCTCCACCGTGCCGTCCCAGTGTCGCTTGCACGGTGGGCTGAAGCATCCATGCTTCCACCAGAACGGACCTGGCACCAGCTTCCAGACCAGTCCCCATAGTCTCCATAGTCTCCAGACGCTTCATCCGAGCTTGGCCCCAGCAAACATTGTGAAGCCCTGCTAGCGTGAGAGGGAACAGCAAAACCACAACATACTGTACCCCCCTCTCCAGCACCTTCCGTTCTCCCGGATGCCACAAGCGTTGCAATTTAGCGTCAAAGCCAGCACTCTCAATAGGACAAGTCATCCATACCTCAGAGCCCAGCATTTCTAGACTAGAAAGTGAAAAAGGAACAGAAGAAATAGACCAGCTCTGGCCACAAGTGATCCTGACCCCACGATGGCTGCTCTGGACATGACAGAACTGTAACACAGCATCACAACATTTTAAAGAACCCACCACCGGGTGTACAGTATCCCGCACTAATCCCTCCAAAGCACCGGACTTCTGCTCCACCACCAGGACGTTGTGTGCCACAGAACAGGGAAGAACTGGCGCAGGAAACATCTCAGTGTCATCAGGTTTACTACATACCACCGGAGCCTCGGTCATCTGGACTGGAGGAGGCACATCAGCCCCGACCTGGCTACCTGTAATATAAACTTGTCTCCCGCAACAAAAACGCTGTCCACGAGCCTCCGGAACAAGTTCATCCTCTGCATGTTCAGGTATAGGACTACTCTGCATTTCCTGTCACTCCAAATCAAGTTTCAGCTGCTCAATGTCATGCTTAACCATTTCAACCTCCAGCCTCATCATTGCACGTTCTTTCTCTGCCTCCACTTGGACTAACAGTAGCGCTTTTTGCTGCTCAAAAGTTAAACCCACAGGTGAAACCAAAATGCCCATTCCAAATAATTGTTTCTTCAAATTGTCCTCAAGAACACTCCTCAAGACAGTTGAATTCCCAATAAAAACTTTGTAAAACTCTGCAATTGCAGTTAAATGCCTTTTAGTGCAGAGCTTCAAATCACCCACACATGGTTCCTCCAGAAACTCTTCAACCACATCATCCATGATCACAAAATCCATGATCACAAAAAAGACCCCCAGAAGCTTAAGTGATAACATCCCAATGTGCACAACTACAAAGTCAAAGATACCCCGCTAACTACCTACCAAAAACTTACTAACTCAACCCTAGTCTTCGGGAAGCGTGGCGATGGGTTCTAATGCGCCAGATACGGATGGTACACAAGACGACCAAGCTGGCAATCAAGTGACCACGGCGTGCTCCCGAGCCGATGTAGGGAAAAGGGAAAATGGGAAGCTACGACCCGCTCTTAACTTCCACACTAAAGCACAAAAATGCAGTGACCCCCCTGTTGGGAAACATCGCTAAGCCTACCAGGGGTTCCTCAACTTTAAAAATTTAGCACACATAACAAATTATACACTTAGCTTCTGGGGTCTTTACAAGCAGCCACAGATGACCAAAACAAGGATGAAGTTTCTTTTATTTTACCTGTTCTACACAGCACAAAAACATGAAGACCAAAAAAAACCTCCCGCACGTCTCCCACAAAGCGCACTAACCCAAAATGACGTCACAGGGAAAACCCCCACTGAGCACGTCACACCAAATTCCAGGCACAGCTCAATTCAAAATGGCACTTAACCAACAAACAAACAAACAAGAGCTGACACAAGACTAACAAAGCGCTCACAAACAAAACCAGTTTACAAAAAATATCACGGATAATTCAAAATGATATTTACCTTACACAAATGTGGGTTTTTAGGACAAAGCCCCCAACTTGTTACGGCCGGCTCAGGGCCACAACAAATAAGGAGACAAGACGGGGGTAAAAAGTGCGAAAATTATATTTAATAATAACAAAAAGAGTATAACAGGAACAAAAACAAGGTATGAGGTGTGAGCATGTTGTAATCAGTGTGTAGTGCAGGTGTGTGAGTGCAATGAAAGCCAGTGTGTGGTGTGCAGTGAATGTGGTGCATAAAACAAAAGACAAACTCAAATGTGCAACAAAGGAATGAGCACCAGGGCAGGACCAAACAAGACAGCAGTGCCGGAGAGCAGGAGGACAGGAGGAGAGGAGGAGCGTGAGCAGCTCTCAGCTCCCAGGTGAAAAGACCCATTGATGATGGGCGTGGCATGGTGAAGCTGGCCAAAGGGTCAAGCAGGAGGCAGACGAGAAAGTTCCCAAAAACCAAAATTTATTTTCAAAAATAACCAAGGTGACTCGTGGCAACATATATACAAAATATACAAAAACTGCTTCAAAACAAACAAAGAAACAGAAAGTAATGAAACTGAATCAAACCCACGTGTACCTGGCTACACTGGTGGTGAACCCCCTCTGACTGACTCTTCAGCTCTTATATAACCCCCTAAGACCTCCCACTAGTCTATAATATCACTCACAGGGGTGGTCTCTGATTGGCTGTTGCTCTGATGAACGTAAGCGGATCTGGTGTTCAATGAGATGAGTACAACCAGGTCTTGTGCTAAAAAGTTCATCTGTCATGTACCTTTGCAAGTCCATTTGTTGGCTAGTGCTCAAGTGACTCACATCAGGGAACACTTGTGTCTCTGCTGACAATGGAAAGTACTGCTCCGGAGGTTCCTCCTCATCTGCAACCCCTCGTGCCAGTAATGAACGCTGGTCTGGACGGTCGTTCCACTCCTTTAGCAGATTGATGTGGAAAACTTGATACTTTTTCCGGCGATCTGGCAAGAAAAGTTCATAGTTTACTGGTCCAGTCTTCTGATGAATCTCATATGGGCCTTGCCATTTAGCCAATAGAGCACTCTATGATGTTGGCAATAACAGTAAGACTTTCTGGCCAACCTCGAATGATCTTCTCTTGAATGACTTGTCATAATTGTGCTTTTGCCTCTCTTGTACTTGTGCCAGGCTCTTTGAAGTGCTCCAGCTTGTCTCTCATTTTCAGCACATAAGAAACTTCACTGCATCCTTGCTCTGGATTTGTACCCTCCCATGCTTCTTTTAGAACGTCCAGAGGCCCTCGAACGGAGTGTCCATAGAGAAGCTGGAATGGTGAAAACCCGGTGGAGTTTTGTGGAACTTCTCTGTATGCAAATAGTAGAAATGGAAGCCACTCGTGCCAGTCAGAGCCTGAATCTGAGACAAATTTTCTCAGCATCGATTTCAGAGTCTTATTGAACCGTTCGACAAGTCCATCAGTCTGCGGATGATATGGACTTGTCTTGATGCCTTGTATTCCCAGTAGACCGTAGACTTGTTTCAGAAGTGTGGAAGTGAAGTTCGTTCCTTGGTCTGTGATTATCTCTTTTGGGATGCCAATTCTAGAGAAAAGTTGGATGAGGCAGGTGACAATTTGGCGGGCTTTGATCTTCTTGAGTGGAAATGCCTCCTGACATCTCGTAGCATAGTCCGACAACACCAGGGGACCCACGATGTCCATGGCAATCCGGGAAAAGGGTGTGTCAATGATTGGCATGCTAATTAGGGGAACCCTATCTCCCTTCTTACTTGGGGCTGTCAACTGACACTCTGGACATGACTTAACTGTGTCCGAGTATTGCTGAGGCCAATAAAATCTGGGGACCATTCTAGAAAATGTCTTTGCCTGAACCAAGTGTCCTGCCCATGGAATCGAATGACTGAGATCAAGGATTGTGGTTCGTAAAGTTTGGGGGACTACTAGCTGATCTCCAATTTTACTGCGCCTGTAAAGCCTTCCATTCTTAATAATAAAACATTCTTTCCCTCTAACTGTCACCTTTGTATGTTCTGGCAAACATTTGTCAAAAAAATGAATAAGAGTTGGGTCTTGTTTTTGCAGATTGGCTATATCGCTAGCGATGGGTAAGAGATTTGACTCTGTTGGTGTCAATATTTTCTCTTCCAATTTAGTACCTCTGACTTTATCTTGCCTTCTGTGTCTTTTGCTTTTCCTAACCTTGCCATTGTTAGAAGTTAGCGTGTCTGCATTAGCAAAAGGCAACTCTTCCAAGCCAGTTTTGTTACTGCCAGCTTGGGCCCTAGTCACTGCCATCAAAGAGTCATTAGAAATGGTTTTAGCTGCAGAAGATTGCTTAGCAATTAGCTCAGGAAGTGCAGGGACATCTAAGCCTAGGAAAATTTGGTAAGGCAGCTGTTCCAGCACACCTACAGACAGTGCAAAAGATTGCCCTTCGACCTGAATAGTCACTTCCGCAATAGGATAGCGAACCCTGTCACCATGTATGCAGACAATATCAACTGTCCCTCCACAAAAGATAACGTCTTTTGGTAAGCTGTCCTGTCTAACCAGAGTGCGGTCGCTTCCAGAATCTAGAAGAGCAACACAAGGCTTGTCGTCCATTACTACACCCATTGTTAGCTCCTCCTGATAGCCAGCATACCCATCGGCATAAGCCGTAAAGTTAGCTACACTGCACAAAGGAGGAGACAGCAGAGAAGGCATGCAAACCCCAGACAGCTCCCTCTCCTGGACAGTGTCTGGGGCTTAATGCCCCTGGTGGGGTCTCCCATGGCAGACAGGTCTCAGGTGACAAGTCAGATGAAGAGCGGTCCAAAAACCACCATGGACAGCACAATAAGGACAACAGTCCTCGGCGACCCAGTCCGCACACACAACATCTGGCTCTTGGGACGTGGAACGTCACCTCACTGGGGGGGAAGGAGCCCGAGCTCGTGGGGGAGGTTGAGCGATACCGACTAGAGGTAGTCGGCCTCACCTCCACACACAGCTTGGGCTCTGGAACCCAACTCTTTGAGAGGGGTTGGACGCTCCACTTTTCTGGTGTTTCCCGCGGGGAGAGGCGGCAAGCTGGGGTGCAGCAGTGCAGAGTACCCGGCCTTCTTGGAGTCCTTGGGAGGGGTACTGGATGGTGCACCGCCCGGGGACTCCGTTATTCTCCTGGGGGACTTCAACGCCCATGTTGGAAACACCAGTGACACTTGGAGAGGGGTGATCGGGAAGAACGGCCCCCCTGATCTGAACCCGAGCGGTGTTCAGTTGTTGGACTTCTGTGCCAGTCACAGTTTGTCCATCACGAACACCATGTTCGAGCACAAGGGTGTCCACCAGTGCACGTGACACCAGGACACCCTAGGGGGGAGGTCGACGATCGACATTGTTGTCGTATCATCTGACCTTCGACCGCGTGTCTCGGACACTCGGGTAAAGAGAGGGGCGGAGCTGTCATCTGATCAACACCTGGTCGTGAGTTGGATCCGCTGGCAGGGGAAGAAGCCGGTCAGACCTGGCAGACCCAAGCGTATAGTGAGGGTCTGCTGGGAACGTCTCGCTGA